ACTGTGGCCAGCTAACATGAGCGCATCTTCAGCCTTCACCATAATCTACTTGTGCGCTACGATCTTTCACACAGAGCAAGCGCCTCTGTATTTCTTTGCCCTAGAGCAGGGCGTCTCACTGACGTACCCAATGTCGCATCAGTACGTGAAAGAAAGAGGAAGACAAACCGAGAGAGAGAGAGAGAGAAAGAAAGAGGTTGGTGTTTGGAAAGGGAAACATGGCACCAGACCTGGTCGCGTGGAAACAGAGGTGCATCCCACATGAAATGAACAACGCCCATTCATAATTCATAAAAAGAAACGACGGAGACGAATATAATCTACTACTGACTAGTAACTTAGGACTTGTCGAACATACATGGCGATTCCCAAGGCCTATGTCATCAGGCTTGAACCAATATGGGCATTTTCTCAAGTCCTATGTCATCAGGCCACAACCATCACAATCCACAGAAAATGAGACGTTCAGTGAAGAGGCTTCTTTTTTAATGGTGGAGGCGTCCAAAGGTCCTATGGCACCAGGTTTCCCCACCTAGACATCCTGTATTGCTCGATGTGTGAGCACAGATGACCTAGCCCTGTGGGTAGCCGTGTGGATATATACCTTGAACCACATATGCCTAAGTCACTAGACAGTAGTATAACCAAATTTGCTCCACATTTGTTCCCCTCCACAGCTTCTCATTCTCCAGCACTCTCCTCATGCCCACAGAAAAACCAGCAACCCATTGTGACAAGCCTGTCAGGATGTACGACTCCAAGCAGCCGAGAATCAACCAGCTATCGGCCCAACAAACAAGGCCAGGCATTGAACATGTATGCACATCGAATATTTCATGAATATTTCATGATGGTGGTCAATCTTTGCCTATATGTACTTGGCTATTGTTGCCAACAAACACTCCGCGCCTTCTGCGCCAGGACAACCTGCTCCTACATTCGTGGGCCTTCAAGAATGACCGCGTCAACAAAGGCCAATCAAAAACCATGCGCCGGGGTCGCGAATCGGCACATACAAGCGCACACACAATTCTATACTTCAACCAACTGTGGATGACCTGAGTGGCCTCCTGTAGGCAAGAATTGATGGTGCCCACCAAATGTCTTTTTCATAGATTGAAAAAATGTCATTGTACGCTAGGCAGAAACAGGATGCATATTGGTACTGATCTACTCTACATGCTTTGATCAACAGACACAGCTTCAATTCTCCCCTCCACCAAGGTAAATGTGCTACTACACTTCGGGAAACTTCCAAGAAGAGAGTTTCGCCCTGCCGCGCTGCTCTGGAGGAAAAAAATGCACATAACCTGGAAGTGTCGCGCATAACCTGTCATCATGTGTGGCCTCGCAGGCCAAAATGGCCACCAAAAATTCCAAGATTATACACTCATGTCATGTCATGTATTTTTGACTTCGGCGTCACCGGACATCCAGATAGCCAGACTCGAATTCACAAAGTGGCCAAGACAAGAGGATATGAGCTTGCGAAGTCATGCCCTTGAGACGACACCGAGACGCGAGGGGTCCAAAGAACGAAGGCGGACCAGATGCGCAAACACAAGGACTCCAAGACAAAGACACGAAGACTCGAAGCTACGACGACTCGAAGACACGCGGAGACACAAAGATAGGAAAACATAACGCCTCGGAGACACGAAGTCATGCAGACCCGAAGACCCGAAGACATGAAGACGCGAAGACGCGAAGACGCCAAGACCCGAAGATCAGAAAACAACAAGACACGAAGACGCGAAGACGCGAAGACACGAAGACACGAAGACACGAAGACACGAAGCCCCGAAGACACGAAGACGCGAAGACGCGAAGCCCCGAAGACCCGAAGACACGAAGATACGATTACCCGAAGACACGAAGACACGAAGACACGAAGCCCCGAAGACCCGAAGACCCGAAGACACGAAGACACGAAGACACGAAGACGCGAAGACACGAAGACGCGAAGATACGAAGACACAAAGCTTCAGGTCTTCAAGGCTTCAGGTCGTCAGAAGGCGTCAGGTCGTCAGAAGGCGTCAGGTCGTCAGAAGGCTTCAGGTCGTCAGAAGGCTTCAGGTCGTCA